TCCTGTCCCTTGTTCCATGCTCAAATGCAAAAGGGGAAATATTTCTCCCTTTGTTTTGCTTTCACTTTGTTTTGCTAGCCCTCTGCCAGTGAAAACTGAGCTGGGGGGGGGGGAATGGGGGGGGCACGTGCTGCCCACCGAGCTCCATTTGCACTGGCAGAGGCGCCCTAGGCCGGCCCTTTGCTGTTTTCAGGGTGGCCCCGCAGGCCGGATCTAAGGGCCTGATTCAGCCCCTGGGCCTTGAGTTTGAGACCCCTGCCCTACGGGTGATGGCAATTCTGTCTTCGTTTCAACTCGCAGGTTTTTGATGTGCGTCTAAACGGCCACATGGTGGTGAAGGACTTGGACATCTTTGACAGAGTGGGACACAGCACTGCTCACGATGAGATTATCCCCATCAGCATAAAGAAGGGGAAGCTGACTGTGCAGGGAGAAGTTTCTACCTTCACAGGAAAGCTTAACATCGAGTTTGTCAAGGTAAAAAACCAAAAAAAAATATGGCTAAGCCCTTTTCCCCGTCAGGAGATCGGCCGTGTCACCCACCTGGGCAGGCGGAGAAGCTGCGGGAGCCGCATGTCTCTCTCAGTCAGGATCGAGTCTCGTCTCAAGACGAAGGGGCCAATAGAGCAGGAAGGAGGCCCAGGTAGTCCTCAAATTACAACAGTTCACTCGGTGTCCGTTTGAAATTGCAAGGGCACTGAAAAAAGTGACCTTTTTCGTACTTATGACCCCCATGGTCATGTGATTTATATTCAGTTGCTTGGCAATTGACTCGCATTTATGACGGTTGCAGTGTCCTGGGGTCGTTTTGCTTCCTTCTGATAAGCAAAGTCAACAGGAAACCAGATTCACTTAGCAACTGTGTTACTAATTGAAAAACTGCAGTGATTCACTTAACAAAACATGATGAGAAAAATCGTAAAATGGAACAAACCCACTTAACAAATTTCTCACCTAACATCATAAATTTTGGGCTCAATTGTGGTCATAAGTTGAGGACTATTTGTATTTACACCTCTTGGTAGAATGCTTTCTGAAGATGGAAAAATGGACAGAGAAATGTTGAAAAGATAGCTGGCTGGGAATCCCAATTCACTTTCTTCCAGTAGTATCGTAAACTGGACCAACTGTGTAGGCTGGTAACAACCCCTGAGAGTCTGTGAACTCTTCTACAGAGCTGCCATAAGGCCTCCTTGGGCAGCCCCAAACCTGAACCCTTCTTAAAAACCGGCTCTTCCAAAGAAACACAGGGTAACAAAGGAATTCTACTTTCTGTTGCTTTCCGCAGGGGTACTATGATAATCCAAAAATCTGTGCACTGTATGTCCTCGCAGGAACAATGGATGGTGAGTAACTCCCTTCTCTTCCCGTTTCTTCTTTGGACATCCGGGCAAATGGCGGACGATCCTGTCTCTATCCAAAGGACAGCTGTAGGTCACTCAGCAATAAGTTAAGGAAGTTAAGGTGATGTTGAACTCAGTAGCTAAAAGATAGAATCTGCAACCTCAGGAAGAGCTTCAGTTCTGTCAAGCATGGAGTTCAGAAGAGAAATAGCCAGAGCACCTAGACTTATATCCCGCTTCATAGTGCTTTACAGCCCCCTCTAAGAGGTTTACAGAGTCAACCTCTTTTTACCTACCTCGGAAGGAGGGAAGGCTGAGTCATCCTTGAGCCTGGTGAGATTTGAACTGCAAAATTGCAGGCAGCCGGCAGGCAGCAGAAGTAGCCTGAAGTACTAAATTCCAACCACTGCGCCACTATGGCCCACATATAAAATATATCTTGTGCAAATGGAATACCTGATTTTAAGAGACAGATTTGGTCAGTGTTATTTATTTTTGAAGCCTCTGTTCTAAACAGAAAAAGATGGTGTATCTATACTGTCTGATACTAATGATAAACTTAAGGATTGAAGTATTGTTATACTTTAATACCAATAGTAATTATACATTTTTTGTCAGGGCTGCCTCCTCTGAGTTGCCTTGTTTGTGACAGTAGAAGAACTTTTTCTCCAGACTCAAAACCCTGGTGGCACCATAGCCAGAAATACCACCTGGTTTGTTCCCATTGATACTCACGCTGTCCAGAGTGGTGCAGCAGGTGTAAATGCTCAAGGGGAGTGTAATTCTGATTGTGCTGCTTTGGCTTAGGAGCCGGTGGGTTTCCCCCTGTAGTGGAGGTAAGCGAGGAGTTGAAAATGCCTGGACCTCTTGCCTCAAAGCCAGTATCAGGTTGGCTGTGCTGACGTGTCTGGGCAACATCTCCTGAATGCTGGCAACCCGGCAGAAACCATCTTGACTTCAAGATTCTGGGCCACCAAAATCCTCATCTGACTTGGCATCCTTTTCAACAGCAGTGCAAAAATGTGTGGCTCCAGCAGAAGGGATGACAGGACCCTTGAAGAGAGGAGAAGCGTCCGGGAACTGGTGTACAGTCTTAAAGGCAGTCTTGATAACAAAGAACGTCTCTCTCTGGCTGTCCTCTACACACACACACACACACACGAGCAAACGTGGCACAAGTTTAGGCTGAGTGACAGCACAATTCTGATAACAGTAGCTGGAGTTAACCTTTCAATCTGTTGAGGGCCCCCAGAAGATAGGAATGAGTCCCGCCCTGCTAAAAGAAAATAAGAGTTGGAGAAGGTTCTAGCTTTTAAGGGTTTAAACATTAACTTTTCCTTTGTAACTGCTACGTGTTTTCCCTTCTGCTTGTGCTTCCAGCCGATGGAAAGGTTTCCTTTTGTTAGAAAACTAGACTCAGCCAGCGCAGGTCACCTAAGCAGGGTTTCCTCGCAGGCGTCAGGAAAATGCCTCACGCCTTCTGGCTGAAGAGGCGGACATAGCCCTGTCTCCTCAGGTCCATTTCTGTCTGTAGGCAAGCTGGACCGGTTGCCAGGCTAAGCCGGAGATCGTCTGGAGCAGGGAAGCTGGGAGTCGCCATCTGGGAGTTGGCGGGGGAGGGAGATGTCATTCCCAATTGGCTGATCTTCCCTGGGGGGGCAGAAGGGGAGGTCACGTGGGCAGGGGCCTGGCTGTTCCGACCTACAGCGTCAGCCTATTTGACTGTTGAGAACATCCACAGCAGAGATGGGATCCAGCCGGTTCTGGCCAGTTCTGGAGAACCGGTAGCGGAAATTTTGAGTAGGTCAAAGAACCATCCAATCCCACCTCTGACTGGCCCCGCCAACCCCATCTCTTCTCTGCCTCCTGAGTCCCAGCTAATCGGCTGGGTCTTCTTTGGTTGCCCTGCCCAGGAGAACGGAGCTGGAAAGCAGGTCAGATGACATGGGGGTTTTGGCAGTGTCCTTCCCCTGCCACGCCCACCAAGCCACACCCACAGAACCAGTAGTAAAAACGTTTGAATCCCACCACCGATCCACAGGAAGTGGAAGGGAATAGGGGCAGAGGTGCCCCAGGAAAAGGAATAGGGAGTTTGTAAACGTGCCAAAAATGCTAACCTGTTGCATTTTGTGGAGAGGCAGACATGTTCAGGTGCTGCCTTGGTGGGATTCTGCATTGGCCTTGATAAGGTTTTGCGTGCGCATTAAGCATTTTTAACCCGCAGCTTTGAATCTGTAGGGGTGCTTGAATCTTGAGGGCTGTAACGGTTTAGGGCAGGGGTCCCCAAACTTGGCAGCTTTAAGACTTGTGGACCTCAACTCCCCTAGCTGGCTGGAGAATTCTGGGAGTTGAAGTCCACAAAAGTGGCCAGGTTTGAAGGCCTGGTTTAGGGTTTAGAAGAATGCTTCCTGCCTCCCTGCAGTTTGTCTACTTTGCACCGAGCTGCAGACGTTGCCATTGTTTTTCTTCTTTCTGCAGATGTTCCAAAGCTTCAGCCTCACCCAGGCCTGGAGAAGAAAGAGGAGGAGGAAGATGAAGAGGAGTACGAAGACGGGTCTAGCCCTAAAAAGCAGGCCAATAAGAACCGGGTCCAGTCAGGCCCCCGCACACCCAATCCCTATGCCTCGGACAACAGCAGCCTCATGTTCCCGATCCTAGTGGCCTTTGGCGTCTTCATTCCAACCCTCTTCTGCCTTTGCAGGTTGTGAAAAAGACAGCAAGCACAGTTGGTCTGCAAGCCAGGGCGGAGGAGTTGGGCCGGATGTGGAGTCGGTCCCAGCTTCCCCCTATTTAAGGAAAACAATGGCTTTTTAAGGAGCAGCAGGTACAATAAAGGGAGAGTTTGCACCCCCCTCAGCAGAACTTTGGGTCTTGGCCAGCTGTGGGCCAGCAGCAGCAGCAGCAGCAGCAGCAGGCACCTTTCCTGGCCAGGTGGTCTTAAAGCAGGGCCTGGATCTTTGGGGCAGCGAATCCTGCAACGAGCAAGATGGAGTCCATCGGGGCGGGAGGAAAGGCACACGATCCAAAGGTTGGCTGGAAAGAAAAGCGGCCCCTGAGCAGCCTTGCTGGAAGGATCCACGGGAGTGGAGGTGGGGGTTAGGTAGACATCCACTAGGACATTTGTAGCTCAACCCATGGTACTTATTTCCTCCTCCGAATGGGGAGGCTCACCTTGACGGATTGATGTTTGGTCAACATGCTTTTGGTTACGGGACAGGTTGAGTAGGTAATCAAGGTCACCTGTTCCGCCAGGCATTCTGAGGAGATTTTACATTCAGGCAAGTGCTTTCCCTGGTCAGGACAATTCTGGCAAGTCTTTTGAGTTGTCTGATTTAGAGAATTCCCTCTCACCGCCACCCCTGGTGTAACTTCAGTCTGTTTCTCTGCCCCATCCCATCCTCCCAACTGCTGTGATTCCACTCTTAGCTCCTCTTCCCATTCCATGTTACGTGGCAAAAAGTTGACCAGCCGAAGCTGGCACTCCAGCGGGCACGTAGGAAGCTTCCCTGATGGCCTTCCATTTTTTTTGTGCCTGGAGACTTCCCACAATCCAAGGTGGCGTCTCCTTTTCCCTGCTTTCCGCCCAGAGCTAGAAAACTCAAAAGGGTTTTTGTCTTTGAGCTTCTTCAGCCGTTCAGACTTGGCTTCAAGGCAACTTTTGAAAGAGGTGCGAGCCCTTTGAAGGGATCCCGCTGGCCGTTCCTCTCTCAGGTCTTTTTGTGGCCACAGTCCACAGTGTCCTTAAAAGGTGCTTCCTGCTGTGGAGCGCAGATTGTATTGTAAGCAAAGGCAGGGTGGCTCGAGTCTAACCTACGGAAAAATTCCCTCCTTGGGTTGTTGGGACTGCTGTGGTTATCTTCCCTAAATATTTACTAGGCTCTAAGGAATATTTCTCTCGGTCTCTTTTGATGTGGCTTTCTGGTTTTCCATTTGCTCTAGGTATATAAGTGGAATCTGGGCAAAACAAAGGCAGAGTTGAAGACATTTTCCTCAATGGCCTTTTCACACAGAGCAAGATGATTGTACCTGTCAGTCAGCCAGTTGATATTCAGCTCATGGTTGCTTGAGCTCCGCAGCAGCCAGGTTGTGCCACCGTATTTAATGTTTGATCCTATAATCTGTTCCACTTTCCCAGTTTGTGGGCTTAATTTTAAGGCACTTGTCCGGTTTCTTTCCAGTTACAATCTCAACAGGGAAATGAGCTGTCTTGCATTTTCTTTTCATACTGCTAGTAAACGTATTAAACTCAGTCAGCTGCTCTCTTTCTCCAGCTGGCTCAGAAAATTGTCTTCCTGCCCAGATTTGGCTTCCTTTTGGACATTTCACCTCAAAGTAAATTCTTTTTATTTATTTATATATATATATATTTCTACTAGACAGTGGTATGCCTGCCCTGCCTCCGCCCCCACATTGATTTAGGGATAAACCCCATTTGATTGAAAATGCTGGCAGGGATTTGCAAGAGCCCCACCCGAAAGCTGCCCTCTTTTGCTCTTTTCTGGTCATGGCTCTCGACTTTCTTCGATGGAGGTCCATCTCTGGTAGTAAGGTGTCCATTTTCATGGCTGACATCGATGAAGCGACTTCTGGGTTAGGCCCTGTGAGACAGTTGATACCTGCTAGCAGAATATAGCAAAGGCTACCTACAGCTAGGGAAATTTCACACCTTCTTTGCTTCACACACATTACCCAGAAGTAATTTCACCAAGTTCTCTATTCTTTGAATTCCAACTTGGAAGAATTTGAATTGGAAGCTATTGATGTTGCAGATCCAGAGAGATGAATCTCTTTTCTCAAAGCAGGTGGATGTTAGGTGAGCTCAGGTATGTAGCCCTGAGGGCAAGGGGGCTGCTTTTATCTTGTTACTGTTCGTTTTTTGAATCCTTCACCTTTAAACGAAACAGCCCTTGTAGCTGTTTATTTAGGGGCTGGCTTATATTTTGCAAGTGAACAGAACATACAGGCTGCCTTGCCTCACTCCTACCCTAATTTGTCCCACTTGATGGTAAAGCTGCACGTTTCCTCCACAAACGAATTGAAGGTGGAGGAAGACCAGGTGAGATATTACAACCGCATTTCCACCCCCTTCTTTCTCCAGGGCCAGAGGAGGCTAACAGTTACTGATTATCTTCCTGAACGATCGTATTTTCTCTGATTCTGAGAACTCAAAATTCCTAAAGGAAGATATGGTTTGTTTCTGATATGGATGGGTAGACTGAACACAACTGAAATTCTGCATTTCTGGGTCCTGGGGTGTAAAAAAAAATGGCAATTCGCTTTTATCATAAGAAGGTTTGGTTCCAGTCATTCACTAGTAAGAGCAGCTTTACCCCTATTTTTTTATACAGACAGAACATGACCCTAATTTTCCCTCAGAATTTGAATACGTTGAGTGTGGCAAGGCGTTCTAGTATTTTCTTTTCCTAAAGGAAACTTCAGCAAAGCCAGCATTTGAATCTGCATTTGTTGCTTCTGCCTTTTAAACTTTTTCAGGTATATTCTTTGCATATCAAAAGGTCTTTTTTTTAACGGAACTTCGTTTTGTAGAAAGTTTGCACAAGAAAGGCCCTTGGAGCCCCATGCTCTGTACACCGGCAGAAAGTGGCGAGGGTCATGCTTTACATTTCACCTCCTGCTCTGAGATGCCCTTAAAACCATGAGCGTGTGTGAGGGGGCTCGGTCTTTCATCCCTCTATACTCTGAAAACAAAAATAAAAACAGGTGATCCGTCAAGATCCTTGCAGAGTTGCCCCCCATAGAGCACATCAGAACAGAAGCTGTTCTCTTCCACAGATTTTGCTTTTACAACTCTCTGGTTGTGTTTGTGCTGGGCCTAGCCCTACTCCTTATAGGATCTACAAAAGTATTAAGACTGCTGTGACTGGCACAGTTTGATCCAGAGGGTTGGGGGTGGTCAGAATCCAGAGGCATCTTGATTTAGGGACCGTGGTCCTTGTGGCTCTTCTACCTAAGCTGGAGATCTTGAGCTGGCAGGCTGCAAGGGAACGGCGCTCCAAGCTTTGCCTGCCAGATGCCAAAAGCGGATGAAGGTTCCTACTGCTGCCTCCTGTGAGAAGGGTCAGCGTTCTGGGTTCATTTCAGCCAATGCATGCTTTAGTTACGTGGTTGGAGCACCAATCCCTGTGCGGTAGTGTTATTGGGCAGAGTGGCATCCGCCTGCCCCCTTTGTGGAATTGTTTTCCTTTTCTTTGACCTTACATTTTGCTTGCTCAAATATAATGCCCTCTCCCTTAGCCAGTAGCGGGAATAAATGCCTGCTTTTTATAGTTCCTGAGGTCCCGTCACTCATATACTTACTGAGAAATGTTCCTGTTTTACTGCAGCAATTTAGACATTCAGCAGAGGAAACCTATGAATTGGGTATCATCATTTAAATATCTTGAAGAGCGAAAAAGGGGCCCTTTGAGCAACCTTGGGAAAGGCCTGCAGCTGCCTTGGACTGGAAGGCTGTGGGGGGGGCTCATCAGTGAATCCCAAAGGTAAAACGCTGCTTGGAATTAATTGGGTATCCCGGTGGATGTAGGCCAAGACTCGCTAAAAATATGTCCCATATAAGATGGAAAGGTGGTTGGGAAAGCCTAAGAAAACTGATATTGTTGGGCCTCCCTATTGGGCCACAAAGCCAAAGGTAAAGTTGGAGTTGACGCTCAGTTTATCCTAAAGACCTTCAGGTCGCTACAACCGACCGTAGTTTGCTTCTGAAAAGCCCCAAAGACCCAACACAGCCGTAGAAATCTCTGCTGGAGGATTTTGTGTGGGCCTCAAAATGCCGTCTTCCTTCGGGAGCTTAGCTGGTGGCGCACGATGCCTGCTAGCCCCGAATGCTGCTTCCTTCAAAGCAGAGGAGCCGAGGGAAAAGGGAGGCATTGGCAGCCGACCTCCTTCCGCTGCCTTTCGGGCTGCCCCCCCCACACCCCCCACACCCCCAAAGCTGCGCTTGATGGGGATCGGAGAGTGGTGCTTAGCTTCCAAATCGCTTTATTTGACCAGGGCAAAAGGGTTCGTGTGTCCCTGGGCTGGTTTCTTGAACCAAGAGATCACTCCCTGGTTAAACTTGAGGGAAATTATTTGGGGTGCCTTTGGGGAGTGCCTTGAGAGATTTTTGAATTCCCCCCCAGGGAAAGGGCCTGACCTTATTTTCTCTCTCTCTCTCTCTCTCTCTCTCTCTCTCTCAACTTCACTTCCTAAGCCAATTGGAGTCAGGTCACCTCTGTCACGATCAAAGTTGAAGTGGAGATGATAATCCTTGTTCTTACCAACAAGGCAGATGCAGGTTTTGAGGGCTACAGAAGATTGAGGCCCCCATCCTTTATTGTACGGTTGTGTATGTTTTTATCTTTTCTATTTGTGTCCCTGCTTGCTAAAGAGGCATTGACACAGTGGCCTCTTAGGACAGCCCTAGAACAGAGGTCTCCAGACTTGGCAGCTTTAAGACCTGTGGACTTCAACTCCCAGAAATTTCCAGCCAGCTATGCTATGCTATGCTATGCTATGCTAAGCTATGCTATGCTAAGCTATGCTAAGCTATGCTATGCTATGCTATGCTAAGCTATGCTATGCTAAGCTATGCTATGCTAAGCTATGCTATGCTATGCTATGCTATGCTAAGCTATGCTAAGCTATGCTATGCTATGCTAAGCTATGCTATGCTATGCTATGCTATGCTATGCTATGCTATGCTATGCTAAGCTAAGCTAAGCTATGCTATGCTATGCTATGCTATGCTGGCTGGAGAATTCTGGGAGTTGAAGTCCACAGGTCTTAAAGTTGCCACGTTTAGGGACCCCTGGCCTAGAATGTTTGCTGCCAGGTTACAAGCTTGGGCGGAATCTGTCCTTATGCTGGATTGCCATTCATTTACTTCAAAGTCAATACATAATTCTGAAGCAGGGTGGTGCGTGCAACTGTCCTTTACTTTTGTGTCTTTTAATATTTTGCATTGGTTCTTTTTATTACTGGGATGTGTGTAGGTGTGCATTTAATATTGAGCTTGGGCAAAGGGTAAAAAAAAAGCACATATGACTTTTGTCTGACTACATTGGCTTTGCAAAAATATTTCTTTTCCTGGGGAAGTGAAATAGGTATGGATGAGTTCTGCATTAATTATTCCCTCCACCCCATTTTTTGGTACATTTAGCTGTTTGTTTTTTTAAATACATTTTGTTGGGTTTCTCTTTTTTTCTCTCAGGATGTCTGGTTGAGGGAAATATTCTGAAATCTACTGCCTGGCAGTTTTAACCAGCAGTGTGTTAAAAAAAATAAAAATTATATTGTCACTTAAATGAGCCGGTGTTTTTATTTTTTTAATTGGAAAGATGGACGGTCGCTGCTTGAAACTCTAACTTGCACCTAACTTAAAATCCTTCCCAAGCTGGCAGTTATATCATTGCCTCCATTTGTGTTAAGTTTGCTTGTTCTTCTAAGTGCAAAAATCAAACGAACTTTTTATTGTCAGTGCACAACATGTGGACAATGAAATTGAAAAAAACAAGGTTGGTGGTTTAAAAAAGGTATTCCCTTCCTCTTCTAGTAGGGTGTGTTTTCACTCCTCTGCCCTCGTCTGTTATCGAATCCGCTTTAGGACCGTCTCAACTTTGAACGGGTTCTGGCAGCTTTAAGCCTGGAGGACTTCAACTCCCAGAATTCCGCAGCCAGCAAGGCCTCCAGGCTTACAGTTGCCAAGGTTGGACACCCTTTGAAAGTTGCGTGGACTTCAATTCCCAGAACTCCCAAGCCATCACGCGAGGGGATTCTGGGAGTCGGAGGTTCTTTTTCCAAAAGGCAACCGGGCGGTACAGGGGCCAGGCTGCTCCAAAGAACCGTCTCCCGAGGCGACGGGTCGGGAAACGGCTCCAATCGAGCCGCTGGAGGCCACCTCGCCCGCCCGCCCGCCGACAGAGGCTGCCCCGAAGGAGCCGCCCGGCGGGGGTAAGCCGAGCGGGCTCGGGGCGGGCCGGCACCGCGCGAGGAAGGGGGCGTGGCCGGCCGGCCGTTTCTAGGGGCGGCGCCCTCCCCTTGATAGGCCGCGCGCCCCGCCCCTCCGCTGCCATGGCTACCGGCGGGCCCGAGGGAGAGGCGGCGGCCATCTTGGCGGCGGCGGCGGCGGGGCCGGCCCGGCGATGAGCGGCTCGAAGCCCAGGGTGGCCGCGGCCGGGCCCGGCGGGGCGCTGAGTCGCCTGCGCGGGCAGAGGAGCTCCAGCGCGGCCAATGCCGCCGCGCCTCCGCGGGCCGCCTTGCCGCCCCCGAGGACGGAGGCAGAGCTGCTGGCGCTGGAGGCGGTGCGGCCCGAGCACGTCCTGGGACTCGGCCGCGTCACGGAGCGTGAGTAGCCAGCCGCCTCCCCCCCCCCACCCGCTCTGGGCCGCGGCTCCGCTTCCCTTCGCCCGGAGCATCCCCGGCGGGGAGGTTCCCGCCCGCGCTGCGGCCTCCTGGGCGGGGAAGGAGGTCAGGGCAGCCCCATCCTTGGGGGCGGGGGGAGGAAGGACCGGAGCCTCTTCAAAAGCCCCCCCCACCCCCCACCCCGGTTCCCTTTGCCCGCCCCCGGGAGCTTCCTCGCCGCGCGTGGAAGTGGCCTTCGGCCGGTTGCTCCCCGAAGTCGGAGTCCGTCGGTTGCGGGCGCCCTCGAGGCATCGGGAGGGTCCCTTTGGGCGTTTGTTTCCTCAGAGAACCGGAGGGAGGGGCCACAGGGGGCCTTTCGGGGGGGGAGGGGTCACCCCCAAGGCCCGATGGCAAACAAAGGTCGGGGGTGGGGGGGAGGGTCTGCCGGCTTTTCCGATCCCGAACCAGCGGCCCCCCCATCCCTCCCCCCCTTCTCCTCCGAGGCCTTTGGGGCAGCCAAGCCCCCCCCCCCGAGCATGAAGGACCCCCCCTCCCCCATGCAGAAGCTCCCTGACGTCCAAGATGGAAAGATGGAGGCCCCCCCGCCCCCCTCCCACTCCAGCGCAGGGCTCTCCCCCCCTGGCAGCAGGGTTAACCCTGGGGGACTTCAACTCCCAGAGTTCCCTGGGGAAGCCTCCTGAACGGTTGCCCGGGCGGGAGGGAGGGAGGGAGGGAGGGAGCCCCTCCTCAGAGGGAGGGTCCCTGGCAGCTGGGCTTCAGACTCGTCGCAGGGGGCTTCGCTTGAGATGGGTTTGGCTGGCTTGTCCTGCATGACCCGGGCAATGCCAGCCTCAGCAGCCCCCGTCAGGCTGGTCATCCGCTTCAGCTCTGTTCCAGCTCCCCTTGTCCTCTTCCCCATGTAGGCCAGGGGTCTCCAACCTTGGCAACTGTAAGCCTGGTGGGACTTCCACTCGTTGCTTCCTGTGAGGAGGTAGCGGCTGTTTAGCCCACCTGGGTTTATTCGCAAGCATTGCCATTAAATCTTAAAAAGGCATGGTGGTTGTTTCTTTAAAATAAGTATAGTTTAATGTTCAAAGCACTGTTTTTTCCAACTTGGCAACTTTAGGTTGTGAGGTCGTCGATCTTTTGGTGTGATAATAGGTTTATTGTTCATTGTGTGTCTGTACTTTGCTTAGAAATAAGAACGTAATAAACAACCACTATTACTGCTGACCCCTGCGCATGTGCAGAGTGCACTTTCTTCAGCTCCTACTTGCTGGCCCTTGGCTCCCTGCTTTCTCCGCGTCTGGACTTCAGTGTCTGCGGCTCACGAGCCGCAGCCTGGGGGCCTTGGAGGAATCCAGCCCTGGTGCTTGAAGAGTGCTTAAAGACCATCTATTCGGGCCCATTGGGATTCCAAACCGAAGCATCCCTGAGGGACGGAGCCCTTGGCTTGGGCATCAAGCTGCTCTCGCTTATTGGAGCAATTCCATTTCAGTCAGGGCCCCTGTGCAGCATCCTTCAAGCCGGGGGTCTCCAACCTTGGCCGCTTTAAGACTTGTGGACTTCAAGTCCCAGAGTTCCTCAACCAGCAAAACTGGGAGTCCGCCAGGCTAAAAGTGGCCAAGGTTGGAGACCCCAGCTGTAGGCAGTCGGTTGTGTTAGCCCAAACTTGTCAGTTCCAGGGTGTTGGTGACGGGAGTGTCAAGGATCCGCCTGGGGAACCAACGCAATTCAGCACTCCCAGACGGACAGCTTTCTCAACTCAATTGTGTACACCATTTCCACACACATGAAAGCCAAACCAACTCTATTTCCCACTGGTTTAGTATAATTAAAGGATAGATATTCCCTTCTCCCCATGTCACAGGCCACATTGTCCAATTAAGTGTTCTGGCGTCTCCCTGGTAACCTTCCCAGTCTCTGACCAACACCTGTTGAGATGACCTTGGTTCCCCTGGGAGGATCCGTTGTTTTCGTCTGGTCTGACATTCTAAGTTTCCCCTCCCCCCATACATAGTGTGGCAAGCTGAGAAATGAAAAGATGGCTGCAGCAGCCCAGATCCATTTCGAAGTGGACAGTAACTTCGGTGGCATCCCTTGCAGCTTTGGGTAGTGTCTCTTTTTCTTTGCTTAGAGTTACACCAAAGGCAATGTGTTTTGTTTCATTTTGCTGCTCGTTCCTGGATCCATTTTGGCAACTCATAAGGAGCCCCAAATAGTTGAGCTCTGAAGTGGGGAAGGGGCAAAGGTTCCTTCAGTCAATACACTGTTGCATTTGTTCCCATCAGATTCAAGGTAGATTAGCTTGCCACTAATCGGGGGCACAACTAATATGTAGTTGGGTCATCCAACACAGTGGCATCAAAGTCTGCCTTGCCAAGAGTTGTCATCTTCAAATATCACCTTTGGACTCCTTGTGCACATCCAAAACAAAGTTTTTCGAATCCCTCAAGAGAAAGGTGGTTTATGGTATGGCACAGGTGTTGCTCTGCATGGCACGGAATGCCACTGGCGCCTCCATCTGGCTCTTTCAGTCTGCTTCCTCAGAGAGACTCTCATATTCGAGGGGTGCTACAACCTGTGGCATGAACCAAGATGGCCGAATGAACATAATCCAACCATTCATCACGTCAGGGCACTGGAAGCGCCATCTGCATCGCTCTTTCGACTTAGCGGGAGGGGCTGCTTGACTCTGTATACAACCTCTGTGCAGCGTTCGCAGAAATCGAAAAGGCATCTCAGCAAGATCATGGAAGAAGACAGTGTGCCAAGACACAGCCTGGGGACAACCAACTCCTCAGGCTTTGAAGCAGAAGTGTGCAGCCTTGGCCGCTGCACTTGTATCTTTTTTTCTGGCACATGTTGAAACCGTAAACCTTGAAGAAGTCGTTGCCACAGGTCTACGCCCCTTTCACGCTTGTGGCCTACCTGGGAGTCCTACCGTTTTTGATCTTGGCATTATTGACACGAATAGTAATTGCTGGTTGATGTCCGCGTGCCCTCAACACGCAGGTAGACAGCTGCACAAAGACTCCCTGATTCTGTATGTCAATCTGGATTGGCAACATTTGAAGGGATGCTACAAGGAAGAGGAAGGAGGCCGGGCACCTGAAGGGAGGATGCGGAGGAGTGGATGGAAACTCATCAAGGAGAGAAATTTCCTGAGAGCAAGAACGATTAACCGGTGCAATGGCTTGCCCTCAGAAGCCGTGGGGGCTCCATCCCTGGAGGCTTCTAAGAAGAGACTGGAATAGGGTAGGCCCTCCTCCTTGAGCAGGGGGCTGGACTAGAAGACCTCCGAGGTCCCTTCCGACTCTTTTATTTTGTTGTTCTGTCTTGCCAGTGTTGACCAGTCTGACCAGCATCACTCAACAATGTCTGTGTGATGTCCCCCAAAAGGACCCTTCTTGAATTGCTTAGAGAGGCCACTACAGGATTGTGCCCAGAATGGAAATGTTATTAAATGGACAGTTTGGCTGAGTAGCCAGTTCTTGTTTTCCCTGCCGGAAGAAAAGCGCTTTCAATTCAGCTCCATGATGTGATGATTTGTATCGGGGCTCAGCCGCTCCAGCTCTTTTAAGTGCGGGGGGGGTTTCTCGGGCAGAACCTTTTCTGTCGCCACAACTGCCACAACATACTTTCCCTGCTATCGTCGTGACCCTTTTAAATAGCCTCCAAGCTGAGATTGGAGCGACCTGAAGCCCTTTTAGTTTTTCCGAGGGCCGTGAAAGCCTGGCTCTTCTCCCAGCATTGGGCCGGGATTGGGATTGAGCTGGGAGGTCGTGTGGTCGGATGCCTTGGGGTGGGAGAGGGGAGAAGGGGACTTGCCTAAAACCATTGCACGAGGTAGGTGGCCATATGAGCCCTGTAAATAAATAAATGTAAACTTGGAGAAGAAAGAACAGATATTCACTGGATCCTTCCTAAGCAGTAGCTGCTGTTTAGGAAGGATCCAATGACTATGTCAGTTAACAAGAACCACAGGGACATCAATTGTTAAGTGAATTGTCCCTGATTTTATTATCTATCTTTGTCATGGCCATTACACAATTCATTACACAAATCACACAATTACGACCATGGAGACACTTCAACAGTCATAAATGCAAGGACCAGTCGCAACTCACTTTTTCAGATCTATTGCAACTTTGAATGGTCATTAAACAGAGGATCATAAATCTCACTAGTAGATAGCAGATTTAGCTGGTATGTAAGGCTGGTGGTCTTTGTAAAGTCACAAAGTATAAACGTGTTTCCCCTGATTTTTGTGTAACGAGTTTGGCTTACACATCCTCCGTTTACCTCCCTCTTTGTCCTTCCATTACAATACAAGATGACGGAAAAGAAAGGCACAGTAGATTATGATCTATAATTCTTTGTACTTAAAATTAGGTCTTTTTTGTTCTGGCATGAGCTAGGTTGCACTTACTTAGATTTAGGTAGAGTGCTTGTGTTAATCACCTCTTGACCAGTTGTAACTGTTCTTTTACATTTCTCCTGTCTTGGCTGAATAATTTGGTGCCGTTAGGGAGCTTGATCATTATGTTGCTCCGTTCTAAATCCAGAGGGTTTTTTGGGGGGTGTAGAATCCCTGCCGTGATGCTTGCGTCTCTCTCTGTCTTACATCCTTCCACTGATTCTTCTCCCTTAACCGGGTGCCTCTCTTGGCCGCAGAATTTGTCAGGCGTCTTGGGAGAGACTTCCTAGTATTGTCCACCGCTCGCTTCCTTGCCCTGAATGCAAAGGCCCTTTTGGTGCATTGGTCCAGGCAGTCTCTCCATTGCCTCCCGAATTTTCAAGGTTGCCTTTCATCATCCCTTCCGTTTTCCTCTCTTCCAGATTACCTTTGCCGACCTGAAGACAACATCTACAATATCGACTTCACCAAGTTTAAAATCCGGGACCTGGAGACTGGGACGGTGCTGTTTGAAATTGCCAAACCTTCAACTTTAGGTAAGTTACTTTGGGTGTAAAGTGATGGGGTCCCGTTCTGAATTGCAAGACCCAACTCGCTAAAAATTCCAGGAAGGGGTTTTTGCTTCCCAATGGTAGTTAAGGCGCTGGTCTCACAATTCCTAAATCTGTGCTTCCTCTTCCTCTGTCATCGCTCTTGGGACGATTTGTTTCCTTCAGACCTTTCTGGGCTCCGTCCATTATTCCAGGTGCCCACAAAGGCTTCTGTCCCAACACTTCACCCACCTAACCCAAGCCACGTTTAGCTTTGTTAGCTCAGTCCAGCAAGGCTGCCTCGGTTGCTAGTTCCGCAGTTCCTGCTGCTGACCTTGATTTTGGCCGTATGGCAGAGGCAGCCCCAGAAGGCTAAGACCTGGAAGGGCCGGCGACGGCTGCGGGGCCTTCCTGGAGTGGCCCCACTTCCAGAAGGGCAGGCCAGTGAGAAACCCCTGCCGAATTTTCTTTCACCGTTAATCCCTGCAGAGCAAGAGGACTACGAGTGTGACCTTGGGGAGGTGGACAGCAGCGCCGGACGCTTCGTTCGCTATCAGTTCACTCCGGCCTTCCTGCGCCTACGGACCGTTGGGGCAACGTGAGTCTGGGCAGCGGCTGAGGGGATGGGGGGGGCGGGACCACCCAGGGCGGCTGCGGGCTGCTCACCACCAGCCACAGAAGCACAGTTAGGCTGGGTGAAAAGCAAGTTCAGCACTTCTAAAAGAGAAGAAAGAAAGAAAGAAAGAAAGAAAGAAAGAAAGAAAGAAAGAAAGAAAGAAAGAAAGAAAGAAAGAAAGAAAGAAAGAAAGAAAAGAGGAAGGGAAGGGAAAGAAAAAGAAGGAAGGAAGAAAGAAAGGAGAAAGAAAGACAGACAGACAGAAAGACAGACAGACAGACAGACAGACAGAAAGAAAGAAAGA